AAAAAAAATCCGGAAAAAAAATTCCCACACTCAGCTAAAAAGGGGGGGGGGGGGGGGGGTTTAGTTGAGAGTGGGAATTTTTTTTTCCAGATTATTATTATTTTTTTTTTCACATTCATGTGGTCAGATACTGGCGTAAGGAAACATGACAAAAGTTTAACAACATATTATATAAAGATATACAGTCCAGGGAGCCTCATTTATCCTAGCAAATTTGTTTGGATATGTGAAGCGTCCGGATATCTGAATTACCAGTTAAACAAGAACAAATAACAATAAAAAATTCTGTTCCGAAGAAAAGTCGTCCGGATACTGAAGCATCCGGATATCTGGCGTCCGGATATCTGAGGGTCCACTGTAGGTACTTTACATGTCGACATAAATATTTTTCATGTAGACAAAATTATATGTTGACATGCTTTCCAAGCATGTTAATATGATTTATCTTACATGAAACATATGGAGATAATGAACAGTATTCAAGATCAAAGGTCCATAAAACAATACAAAACTCAGGAGCAGGGCAAACACGGACTTCCGAAACATCAGAGGTGGGATCAGGTACCATGGAGGAGTGAGGCAGAGATATGCCACAAACATCATAATAGAAATTTAGGTCTATGAATCAACTATGTACATGTGTGTATTGACATGCAACTTATGCTGATATGCGTTATAAACAAGCCAACATGCAACTCATTTATTAGCTGCAGAAGTGTTGCGTTATGGTTTTATATGACTGTCTTTGACCATAACGGTTATGGTCAACGACTTATATAAAAAAAACCATAACGCTGCAGTTCTGCAGCTATTCATTTATGTGGACATGCCCATTAAAAAGTAAATTGTTTTAGATAGATTTTCAATTATTGAATTTTATAATAATATAATTTTTTACCTTTTGGAATTCGGACTTCCTCGCGGTATTGCACAATGTTACAAGGACTGTCTACAACATATGATAACAGTTACGTCCAGTTACTTCCAACACAGCATACATATATTTTCTTCAATCATTCCATTACTTATACATACTACTATGAGTGTGATAATTATCGAACAATTCCTAGCTCTCTGATTATAACTGAGCAAAAATTATTGAAAAGACTAGCATTCACGTGACCACCCAGGTCAAATGATGATCGAGGACTTCCAAAATGGTACTAGTTCTTATATTTACATATATATGTGAAATGAAAATGTCCATCATAAGGCTGTCTCACTATTATTTTCTGATACAGCTCTGTTAAATTAGAATTTGGAGAATTTCCTTTTTTCTGGAGCTTGTTGATCAATGCTGAAATGACATTTCCTAGATTGTTTGTATTAGTTGACAAAGCAATGTTGGGAAATATTTGGTTATAACGATAATACAGCAACACTCAAATTACCTTCACGACATAATAGTCATATATCTCATCGTTCCGGCACAGTAAATTTTGACCCCCCCCCCTCAGATAGCAGAATCACGCTATATAGACCCTTATACTGCGGTTATAGTATAACATAACTACATTAATGAATAATGGTTGAATATAGTATCATTTATTTATAGCTCTTCTGGCCAGAAACTGGAGGTATTGTGAGCAATGAACTGACTAAATGATACCCCCGCCTCCTATATGGTTATAATGACAAAGTCCATGTTTTGCTGTGGCTGGGAAACCCAAAATATATGTCGGATCAAAAAGTAAAATAGGAAGTCACAATAGCAATTGTAATAAAGATTCTGTGAAAGTTTCATTAAATTTCACTCAGTGGTATAAAAGGAGTTGCAATAAGAGATGGGTACCCTACAGCATAACAGACAGACGGACGAACGGACAGCTGGACGTACAGACGGACGGACGGACATACCGATTACTATATACCCTCCCGCTATTTAAGCGGGGGGTATAATAAGGATGTAGTGTATGGTCCTTTATACTGAACCAATGATGTACACTTGCATTGCTAAATAAGATATTCAAACTGTATTTGAAATGTATCCAACTCTCTTGCAATAAGATTCGTGAAGCACCAAAAGGATTTGATATAGGTCAATGAATTGCACTTTATTCATAAAATATTCAAAAGAACATACACCGCCTAATGGTTCTTACATCAATTCAGCATTTATTGCTTTATAAATTTCTATAATCTATAAAATAATCTAAATAAATACTGCTTATGAAAACCTTATGATACACAATATGTAACTGATAAAAATGTAAATGTAGGGCATAGTGCGTCAAAGACAATGATTACATACATACCTTTATTATAAAACTGTTTTGTGTCTACCAATGATAAAAAGATCCATATTAGACATACAAGCATGCCATCGGTATGTATTGACATGTTTGCACTTGAAACACTGAAAAAAGGAGATATTTCATAGGTAAAGGTTTATGGGAGAACATAAAGACTGCATGCAATATTTGGTTAATCATGACAAATACATAACCTACTATTGGGATAGGATAAGGTATGGTTTTCGCTGAATCTTGCCCCCTATTTGATGTAAAAATCAGACCACAGATGGTTTTGTGATAGTTCTGATTAAGATCTTAAATTGATGAAAACTATTGCATGAATAAAAAAAAACAACCAGGGGCCAAAAAGGGGTCTTAGTCTATCTTGTCCTTTTATGGGGAGGGAGGGTCATGGGCCCTCCGAGTGCCCCTCATTCAAGTGGATGAAGTTTAGTTTTATCAGTGTTTAGGCACCAATTCACACATGAGAGTCATGTGACAAAGATTGTACATTCATTTAGTCCGACCCTTTTGTAAATGTTTTGAAAGGCCACTGAATTGCTTTACTACATAAAAAATCCCCTTTATGTAAATAAAATATTGTTTTACTACTTACATTTAAAAGGTACGTCCATTTAGTTATTTGGCCTGTCCTTAAGACAAACTATTCTCAATGCTGAATTAACCAATGCAAAAACGAAAGTTCTAAAAATCCAATATGTGTTATCGATAAATATATATACATTTAAATCTCCGGCCTTTTAATGCATGATTTAATCAGCTATAATTAAATGGCTCTATATCTATTTAGATGTGTCAATTTATTGACTACATGTACCACATAGGCGTAGTCACAGGGGGGGGGGCAGCGGGGGCACCCCCCCCCCAAAAAAAAAAAAAAAAAAAAAAGAGAGAGAGAGAGAGAGAGAGAGAGAGAGAGAGAGAGAGAGAGAGAGAGAGAGAGAGAGAGAGAGATCGGGGGGGGGGGGGGGCAAGAGTATGTCTGTGCCCCCCCCCCACTTTTTAATGAAGAACAAAATCACAGCTATTTTGAAATAATATTAAACCTCATTTTATGGCATTTTCTTTATGTTCAACAACTGAGAAAGCATTTCTCTTGAAGTAATAGTTGTATAATATAGTAATGTAATATAGTAATTAAATCGTCAAGACCTGCCCCCCCCCCACTTTTTTCCCTAACATTACCTTTACTATAGGAAATGTTCATTGAAGGGATAGTTGCCCCCCCCCCCCCACTTTTTGACCATAGTATAGTGATATCGAAGAATTGTGGAAAAAAATTGGAATTGAAAGTAACTTGCCTTTGAAAAAGTTGGCCACTAACCCCCCCCCCCCCCCCCCACCCACCCACTGCGAGTGCGCTGCATTTTTTTTTCAATCTTGGGGGGTTTTTTTGTTTTTTGTTTTTTTTTTTGTTTTTTTTTTTGTTTTTGCTTGTCAAAGAATTTCTGGAGTTGAGCCCCCCACCCACTTTTAAATTTGTGACTACGCCTCTGTACCACTATGTATCCAATAAATTTCAAAATATCTTTTAAATGCAGAATTAGTCCTCTCCGAAAGTCATTGTTTTGGCAGACTTTGTAAAATCGCAATGAACTTCAATTTTAAAGAAAACAGGTGTATATCAGTGCTTTCAGTAAATGAATAAAATTGAACACACCCCTTGATATTAACATTATTACATTTTTATACCATTGAAACAGTTACGACGTCATGATTTCCGTCAATATCTATACGCTAAAAACTTATAAAATGGCCAATCTGGTTTTTATATATTTTGTTTAGAAAACAACCTCTGATCTATAATATCCAATCATATATTGGTAGAACTGTTCATAGAGCTGAAAAAATGCGTTTTTTTTTTTCATCAACAAAATGACTTTGTTAAAAATCACTCTGATTATTCAAGAGTGATAATTTAAAGGATGCTAAAGTTTCTAAGTGACAACATTTATGCATGCTCTGGAGACCAGTTTTCCAACAAACTATTGGAATTCCGATGGTCACTAACTATCCTCTTTTAATATCTGTTTTTATATTCCTATAAAGCAGAATTTATTCAAAAACCTCTACACGAGAAGAAGAAAAAACTTGCTCTGGCCCTCATCTTGACAATTTTTAAAAACTACATATATACCGACGATGCATTGCTGATTATCAATAATTACTTTCATTGAAATATCGATTCGAAATATCTTATAGAACTTGAGTTTACAATAATATTCTGTTATCGCCCGCATATAGTATTTAAATCCCCTATAACTTATTCAATACTCAAGGGCATGCTCCGAGTACGATAAAATTTTCAAACCATATTAGATAATTTGCTGTTACAATTATTTCAACAAAGTCTTTTCAAGACAGCATTTCATAAATTCCATGGTCTTTATAATGACCTTTTAGAGAACATAGCCTATCAATGGGGCGTATTTTAGCTGTGTTTAATACCAGTTGTTAATTTTTTTTACTGTATTTGATTACGAGGACTGTACGTTCAATAAATAATGTCGTCGAAGCTCGGAAAGAAAAAAAACGCTTTTCAATGATTAAAGCAATATGAGCTGTATTTTTGAGAATTTTATTTTGCTGGGTAAATGTGTTATTATGATTAATCTGTATGTAATCTAAACCCTTACGATCAATAAAACCAAAATAAAGTTAAAAAATGTTTCAGAAGAAATATTTCTGTACAAGTGAATATACAGAATTATTAAGGTCTCCCGTCTTCACGGAAGACCTTATAGTTCTTCTACGGTTTCTTATTATATGAAATTATTATTGTACAGGACGACAATAATTCAATTTTGCTTCAATCAAAGCGTATAAAAAGTTCTTTTGTAGAAAATATGAACAGCAAAAGTTTATAAATGTTCAATTTTTCTGAAATAAACTAAAATATTCTCTTTAAATTAAAACGCATGTCCGTAACATTTTTATTCCATTTTTAATTGTTTTAGAACACATTTTTGATTATGGCCCTTCGTATTCTGGGATATGGCAGATCATATGATTTCCTGTACTTTTTGTTTTCTGAAAGATTTTTCTTTCAAGTTTGGGAAATTAAACAAGTCAAAGGTGAAAGATCTGGCGAATATTGTTGGTGTGACAAAACATGAACTTTCTGTTTATCCCCAAAACTCCTTTACTCTTAATGGCGTGTGGGTTTGGACGCTGTCATGAAGAAATTTATTGTAGTGGATTCCTGATTCTGGTTCCTTCCTCTCATAAACCTTTCAATTTTCTTTGCAAAAATTTTGCTTTCTAGACTCCTCCAAAAATTATATTGCTTCCCTGAATACTAATTTGAACAACAAGACCACTAATATTTACGAAAATATCATATAAAACTGTTTTTGCGCTCTTGCAATTCTTTGCTCTTTTCAGTCCTTTGCAGTTTTGTCAAGTGCATCTTATTATAAATTTGTTTTGAGGGTTTAAAGCAATGGATTCAAGTTTCATTATCTGTTTGAATTTCAAAACAAACGTGGATAAGTACAAGTTTTGATTTTTTAAAATAATTGTTTAGATATTCTTACACGCTGTCGTTTACATTCATTTTTCAAAATATAGGATGACCTTTGAGTATTAAGCTTTTTACTGTTAAATGTTTCTTAAACAAGAGGCCCAAGGGCCTTATAGGTCACCTGAGCATTCTGCAACAACTTTCCAGTTATTGAATTTGATTTCTGTTTTAAGCCAGATGCTATATAGCATTCACAATTTTGAAAGAGGCACCATTGATCATCATAACAATACACTTAGCAGTTGCTAAGCTTGGTTTATTGATTTAAATATGCCCAATAATAAGTTCATAGGATCTTCATGAACGTTTCATGAACATTTCATGAATAAAATTCATGAAAAATTCAAGGTAATTCATGAATTATTCATGATCACCTTGCAGGGGTACTGAATACCCATACGCAAGGTAGGGGAAAAAAATGCATTCCAACTAATCAGTTATTTTCAGCAATAATCAGTAATGCCCCAAACACTGTGAAATAAATCCCTGACCCTAGGTCCACACATTGCACAAATTTTAAAAAGGCACCGTTAAAATTGCCTATCAAAAAATAAATAGATGTTTTATAAATACAAAGGAGCAGATTTCAAACAATTAATTCATTTTCAGTATATAAGTAGAGCCCCACCCCCACCCCTGACCCTGGGGCCTTGAAATTCAAAATTTTGCAAGATTAGGGCCCTTGCTCATCATAACTATTTAGGTAGTTCATCTGCTTCATACCCAGAGACAGAGAAGAAAATTTTTAAAGATTTAATGTATATTCACTATATAATCAATAGAGCCCCCCCGCACACACCAGAACCCCTGACCCTGGGACCATAAAATTCACATTTTGGTAGAGGCACTCTTGCTCATCATTACTATGTACTTAGTTAGTTTATTTAATACCTAGGAGCAGAGAAGAAGATTTTCAAAGAATTCATGTATTTTTACAATATAATCTATAGAGCCCCCCCCCCCCCACACACCAGAAGCCTTGACCCAGGGACCATAAAATTATTCACAATTTTGGTAAAAGCACTCTTGCTCATCTAAACTATGCACTTCGTTAGTTTATTTAATACCTAGGAGCAGAGAAGAAGATTTTCAAAGAATTCATTTATTTTTACAATATAATCTATAGAGCCCCCCCCCCCCCACCAGAAGCCTTGACCCAGGGACCATAAAATTATTCACAATTTTGGTAAAAGCACTCTTGCTCATCTTAACTATGCACTTCATTAGTTTATTTAATACCTAGGAGCAGAGAAAAGATTTTCAAAGAATTCATGTATTTTTACAATATAATCTATAGAGCCCCCCCCCCCCCAACCCCAGAAGCCTTGACCAAGCGACCATAAAATTATTCACAATTTTGGTAGAGGCACTCTTGCTCATCATAACTATGCACTTAGTTAGTTTATTTAATACCTAGGAGCATAGAAGGAGATTTTCAAAGAATTTGTGTATTTTCACTATATAATCAATAGAGCCCCCCCCCCCCCTAACACCAGAACTCTTGGCCCTGGGGCCATAAAATTCACAATTTTGGTAGAGGCACTCATGCTCATCATAACTATGCACTTAGTTAATTTATTTAATATCTAGGAGCAGAGAAGAAGATTTTCAAAGAATTCATGTATTTTTACTATATAATCTATACAGCCCCCCCTACCAAAACCCCTGACCCTGGGGCCATAAAATTCACAATTTTGGTAAAAGCACTCTTGCTCATCTTAACTATGCACTTCGTTAGTTTATTTAATACCTAGGAGCAGAGAAGAAGATTTTCAAAGAAATCATGTATTTTCACTGTATATAATCAATAGAGCCCCGCCCTAACACCAGAACCCCTGAGACCATAAAATTCACAATTTTGGTAGAAGCACTCTTGCTCATCATAACTAACTACTTAGTTGGTTTATTTAATACCCAGGAGCAGAGAAGAAGATTTTCAAAGAAATAATGCATTATCACTACCTACTTATTTAGCCCTGCCCTAGCACTAGAACCCCTGACCCCAGGGCCATGAATTTCACAATTTTGGTAGAGGACTCAATGCTGATTACAGTCATGCAAACAGTTTGACTGCTTGATGTCCAGGAGTAAAGAAGAAGATTTTCAAAGATTGCATTAATTTTAGTGGTTTTGGCCCCACCCCTCAGGCACCAGGG